TCCTCCCACACTCCTGGCAGCCTGCATGGACAGTCAGGGATGTGGAGCTGAGCTGTGAGATATTCATACACTGGCCAAGGCATTTTTCATTAGATTAAAGCAAGGTGTCCCCAGGGAGTGATTCAGCCACCTCAAATCAACAAATGATTTGGATATTGTCTGTCAGAGCTCAATGAGTGTTTGGACAACACTCTCAGGCTCATGGTGGGATTATTGGGGTGTCCTGTGCAGGGCAGGAGTTGGATTTGGATGATCCTTGTCTCTTCCAGCTCAGGATATTCTCTGACTCATGATTTATGCTTTAATGCAAAGGCAGCAATTTCACTGCAGATATTCTCCTCAAGTAATTAATTGCCTTGCAGGGGGCACAGCCTTCCAAGTAGCAAACTTGTCACTTCAGGTATTTTCTTGCCTGTTATTACATTACAAAAGAAAGCAAGCAGGAGAAAACACTGCCAAGAACAGTCTGTTGCTTTCCACAGTGTGCTGTGGCAGATGAATTTGTGTTGAGCAGAAACATTCATACCACAAATACCACATTCATACCCTCCTACCCCTTCCCCTGGCTGCCAGTGCAAGGCAGATTAGATTAGTTAATTACATCTTTACTCCTTAATGATGGAATACTTGGAAAACTATTATTGATCCTACAGGACATAATTCATGACCTAATTACAGTGATAAAACTGCAAGATTATCATCTTGCCAGCTATTAATGTCTAGCCTGATCTGAGTTAATTAGAAGAGAGAGAGAGAGAGAGAGAGAGAGAGGTGACTTCTATGCTTCTGATGTGCAACAGCACAGCAGGATGAATGAGCAAGACTGCAAAGGCAGGACAAGCAATTTCTAGCCCTCAGTTTACCCTCAACTGAGCTTGTCCAGGAAATACCAGACACACTGAACACTTTAGCTTTGTGTGTTCAGCCATTTGAGTCATTGGTTCAGTGGGACAACAGTGCTTGATGCTGTTCGTTTTGCAGAGGTTCAAACGTGGAGCAGAGACCTCCTTTTGTTCAGCTTTTAGAGAATTGAGGAGATTCATCAGAAAGATTCATTAGAAAGACCACCAAGATCATTGAGTTCAACCTGTGACCCATCACCACCTTGACAACTAGACCAGACCACTGAGCGCCACGTCTAGCTGTTTCTTGGATGCCTCCAGGGATGGTGACTCCACCACCTCCCTGAGCAGCACATTCCAATGCTTGAAGTTTGGATTAAGTCTTTAGTCACTCTCAGTCTGGACAGGAAAAAAGCCCCAAAACCAAGAAGATCCTTGATTTCCAGAGTGCAACTCACTCTTCCCTTAACAGCAATGATGGGCTGTGGCTAAGCAAAGAAACAAAACCTCCTCCCTCCCCAGACCTTTCCCTCTACCTTTCCTGAGAAGGATGTGGTCCCACCTAAGCACCAAGTTTGATTTCCTTCATAGCTGCTCAGGGTCATGCAATAAATCTAGAAGATGAGCAACTTGGAGTTTTCTACCCTACTCAGGGCTCATCTCCACAGGAAACCATTCAGCAGCAAAATAGGATGTGCCTTGACAGTGTTCTACCTCTGCCACAGGAGCTTCCTGCAAGTCCACTGGAAGAACACAGTGCCTTAGTTCATCTTCCTCACTGGAGTCTGCTCCTGTGCACAGACCTGATCCTAGTGCTCATTAGAAATGCCCACACGAGTTATGACACAGCTGCTGTGAGGCACAATGTCCTCCCCACATAGGTAATGTTTGGGTTTAGTGTTATGACTGTGATCCTCGAGATGAGGGTGTCATTTCTTGGCTTTCTGCCACCCAGACAAGTCTTTACCAGCCGAGACTATAAATGCTACAACAATGGGCTGGTCAAGGAAAAACAGCTTTGAAGTTGGGCAACAGTGACCAAACTGAGATTTCTAGTAATACCAGGAATTTAAGTGGTCATGAAGCAAGTCCAAGAGTAGGCAGAAGCCAGCAAGTGTTAGGGGTTAGTGTGGTGCAGAGCAGACCTTCTTTTCTCATGTTGCACCACAAGTTCAACAAACCACACTAACCTCTTGCTTTGAATGCAGCTACCAAAGAAACCTCTTGTTGGTGAAGGGTCAGACAGTGAATCCTGTGGGTACCACTGCTGGGGAGGCTGCTGCTGCCTTGCCCTGGAGTAGAATGTCCATGCACACACACCATGCTGTGTGCTAAGGGCTGAGAGCTAAGCAGGAGCCCACAGCAGCCAACCTGCTACATCTCTGGTGTGAGGAACCAGCTCAAGTGCTCCCAGTTTCACCTTCCCATCAAAACTGAGCAGCTATCCCCTGGCTTTGTGCATTAAGGGAAACATGACACAGGAGGAGAAAGACTGAGGCAGTCTCAGAGCAAAGCAGGAAAGTTCATCCCATGTAACTGCACACTCTGGTTGATCATTCAGGGCTGACACTAGGAAACTTCAAGCTGGGTGAGATATCTGTTGTAGGAGACTTGATACAAAAGAAACTTGAAGCTTGCAGTAAAAGATGAGAATTGAACAGTTTGCACAGAAGGAGTTTCCCATATCTTTGTAAAATATTGGAATCATGGGCAAGCAAGCCTCAAAATACCTTCATGAGGTAACATCTACCCAGTTCAGATGGTGGCACAGAGTTGTCACACTGTTCCACACCACTTCTTATTCCCAATGATGAGGCTAAACTACCTCACAACACACTGCCAGTAATACTTGACTGGAAGGGAAGCACAAGAGTCTCACAACATCTTTGAACACTGTTAAGGTACTGAGTTTCTCAGAAGAGAAAGTGATGAGTAAGAAATGGAAACAGAAAATATTAAAGTCACTTTATGAAGTGACTTTCTGAAGTATTTCCGCTGTTCCAGGGGAGCCTGTTCACAACTGCTGTGGGTGAATGTTCCCAGCAAGAGTCTGATGACCTATAACTCATCAGAAAGAGATTTTCATACTCTTCAAGCTATTGTGCTGGATGGGCCATGACGAATCAGGTTCCTGAAGTTGTCTCACCCTTCCATGACATCCTCTCGAAAATTTCACTGCTTTATTGCTTGCAAACACCTTTTCCCCACACAGCTCCTGCTGGGAAAGGCAGTTACCATCTCTCTGTGGTTTTAAGGAGGAACTTGTCAGCTGAGCATGCAGGAACTGAGAGCACTTCTAATATCTTTGTAGAAAATGCATCATCTTGATAAGAACAAAGCATGAAGAGGCCTCAGAGAATCACATAATTTGCTGTTCAGAAAGAGATTTCTAGTCAGGAAGCCACCACTACATAAAGGCATGTGCACTCAACTAACTGGACTTAAATTAGGTATATATTCCTAATTCCTCCTGTGAAGCATTAACCGAAAAAGAAAAGCAGATGAGAGAATGAGATCTAAGAGGAGAGCAAGGAAAAAGTCCTATTTTACCTGAAGCAACTATTAACTTAACCGAAAAAGAAAAGCAGATGAGAGAATGAGATCTAAGAGGAGAGCAAGAAAAAGTCCTATTTTACCTGAAGAAATTGTCTAGCTTTTCTCTGTTACTTAAAACAAGAAACCCAAGAAAACTCAACTCTGTGAAGTGGCTGATAAGGTGACCCTGGTGTATCACAAACACCTGGAGCTGAGTCCAAAGAAACAGTGAGTAAGAAACCTAAGATACCATCTCTGAAGTAAATGCACAACAGGCATAAAAATTCAGCTAGAGCTACATTACACCTCTGTCTTCAGGTTAAACATTAGTCAAGGTTAACATTATTCTTGACATTATATTCTTGACTCAAGAAAAGCTGCACAAAAACAATGAAAGAGCCTCATGGTTATCAGACTGGTCAATCTAAGCAACGTGTTTGAGAACCTTTATGACATCTGTGGCTATCTGGACCATCATGTGAGTCTGAGAGAAGTTCCACCCTTCCTAACTATCCAGGAACTGTGCATCACAGCCCAGTGAGCTCACTGCCACATCAGTGGGGTGATGGACAATATTTCCTAGAACCCAAAACAAAGGTACCTTTGTTAATAGGTACTCAGAGTTTACCTCATGAGAACAGGGGGAAAAAATAAGAACCTTCTTAACTAAAATACTTGTTCAATGAGCAATTTTAAAAGCAGAAACCATTTCCATTTTGCTCAAAGCAAAATGAGGGTCCCTGGGACAACTCTGTCTTCAGGCACAAAACCTGTCAACTAAGTTTCCAAGTAAGGCTCAACAGCAAGGAAAAACTCATGCATGAATCTTCATGTATCAGAGACTCAGCTCCAACATGGAAAAAAGGGATTACTAATATTAAACTGATAATAATTTGTATTTTATGCCACTCATTTTTCCACGAAGCATCTCCAAAGGCATCCAGTGAAGACTGGCAGAACGTGATACACATTTTATCCACAGGGAAGGGAGGGGAAAGAAAATGTCTTGCAGAGATCTCACCCCATCTGCAATGGGACCTCAGTCTCAGAGCCATGTGGATTCCACCACTAGGCACCACATGGAATCATAAGGAACCACTGATGACAAACACATGAGTTTTTGAGAATCATTTGATTCAAACAAGTACAAAGTGCCTATTTAGGAGAGGAGAAACAACTCTCAGATGAGGACAAGGAATCAACAGCTTAAGCAGGAAGAGGGAAGCGGCACCTGATGGCACTGATCACCTTGGCATTGGTGTCACCTTGCACGTAGAGCACTGAAAAGGGTCTGAAGCTTTTGATGACCTGTGGTCACATGAAAAATAGTCACTGTCCTCAGCAGAGCAATCCAGTCTGCAGCTAATAAAGGATGAAGCAAGTCTGGAGCAGTTTTCTCCATCAGAAACACTTCAGAACCACATTTGCTCAGAGTATTTCAGCAAATGAAAAAGCTGAATGAATGTCTGAGAATTTGGACTCAACCGAAAGGAATCCAAACCCCATTAGGCAACTAAGTGACCTAGTGAAATTACAAGCATATTTTCCCCAGATAACAGTAAAGCTGTAAAGATTCTTATATGCACAAACACACAAACAAGGGCAAACATAACTTTTACTTACATTTCAGTGGCTATGAATCCGGTGAGCTCAGACAGGAAGAGAAACAGTATGAAGAGACAGCAGCAGACAGAGACTGGAACAGAGGCAAGGAGAGGAAAAGGTTAGTTTTGCATCTCTAACACAGACAACAACTGTTTCCACACAGGCCCATGATTCCGCCCATGGATATGCCACCCAAGGCACACTTGAGGACGAAGAGTCTTTAGAGCCCATGACCCAGAGGAGGCCACCAGAGCAGTGACCTCAATGACATGTCACTATCCAACATCCTGAGGGGGATCTACAGTTTTGGGCCACCTCTTCCATCATGATTTCCATCTCCCCATGGCTCCTGCATTCTCCACCTCCAGTACCCAATGTTGGTCTGCCAGCACTCCTTCTGCTTGACAACATGACTTCTTTGGAGCCTTTGCTCCACATTTTATCACTATTAAAACCTCCAGAAGGGAAAAAGAAGCAGCATCTCCTTGTGTTGAAAGCACAGTGTTAGCTAACACACTGTTTTGTGGATTAGGCGATATTTTGGCTCCTTGTCAAGCTCCAAAGCTGTGTGTAAGTCAAGCTAACACACTGTTTTGTGGATTAGGCAATATTTTGGCTCCTTGTCGAGCTCCAAAGCTGTGTGTAAGTCGCCTCAGAACCTGCACTGACACTAGATAGAGCTGGTACAGCAGAGACTTAGCAATAATGGGCTAGTGCAGCCAATGCCTGATACATCTTTAACCTCCCCATTTGTGGCTTCAGAGAGGGAAATGTCCCAGTGCAGGAACTGTGAAGTACCCAGACAACAATCTCATGTCTTTCCTAAGAATTCCAACCTGGAGTTACAAGGAAGGAAGCCAAAGCAACTGGCATGTTACTGGTTACTCTTCATCAGGAAACTACTCAAACCATTGTGCAGAGACATTCACACAGCAGTGACAGGAGGGCCTGGAAGGAAGTACAGCCATAAATCCTATTGAGCAGGGATGATTGGAGCAGACAAGGATGTGACAGCTCAAGGAGACAGGGCTGCAATGTGTATCTCGATGAAATAAAACACCCAAGTTCACCATGAATCACTAACCTAAGGAATAAAGCAGGAACTCAGGCTCTTCCAGGGCTGAGACACCAGGAGTACAATCCTGCTCCCTCCTCCAGCCCAGCACAGCCCAAGCACTCTGTGAACTGCCCAATTTAGCAGAGCCACTAAGTAGGATTGAGAAATACCTAAGAAAAACCCTGTTCCTCAACTTTATTCCACATGACCTATCCAGCCTGAATACCCATTCCTTTGGGAAGCAAAAGCAACAACAGGCTGGGGAACAAGTTTATCACACAACTGTGCCAGGCCAAAATCCCTTGGTAGAGAATGTGAGAGGCACAGGAAGGAAAAAGGAGGTACTGAGGGCAAGGACTGAGACAGATGCTTGAGTGACCTAAAGCCTTGTGCCTCATTCTTCAGATTAGTCAGTTGCTTGTTCTGAGGAAAAAGAAATGAGTTGCTTCCCCTTCCTAATTTCAAGGGTGGATTCATTTACTGACCCTCTGTACAGTGCAAGGGATTAAAAGAGATGCCAAAAAATCCATTAACTAGGATGAAAAAAAGAGTAAAACATTCAAAGACCAGTAGGAAAATGGGAAGCAAGAGGAGATACTAATTTCCAAAGAGAAACCTCAGCTGGTCACACAGTTGCTTGCAAGTCTTGGCTGTCCAGACACAGCAGATCACTGCTGTGACCCAGCTGAGCCCCTGGCATGGGACACCACATGGTGTGGGGGAGGAGAAAGCTCTGCTTAAAGCACAGCAGCAAATTCTGATGAGAACACACAGCCCTATGTAAGAGCCCAAAAAAGTAACCAAGGCACAAGACTGGTAGATCCAGTGTTTTGTACTGCTAATCACTGAGCCACCAGAGCTCTGATCTCTGGCAGGATGCAGGGGAGAGTTTGACACAGACATCCCTTTCTTCTTTAATTGCTTCCCATATTCCTCTCTGCTTTTTCTCAGCCCATAAAGGCTTTCCACAGCATCTGCCAGACCTCTCTGCTCCCAAGCACTTCTAGGCCAGCTTGGGACTAACTGCAAATTCTCTCCCAGAGTTTCTTCTCTCTTCCAAATCTTTAACTTTCTTCTCTGCCACTTATATCATCAAATTATCTTCTTTTCCAGTACTTGTTCCCTCAAGTTCATCTTCAATTCAGTTCTTGCAGTGAAGGCTCATGACAATACTTACCAAATACAGCACAGTAAAATTCCACTAACCTATATCTAAAAACCCTACAAGAATGCCCTGAAGCACCTGGCAGGGACTGACTTTCAAAGCTCCTCAGTGCTTTTGTCAGTCTTCAAACTGTGGAGTCAGTTTTCAGCCTGTAAAAGAGATTACTGAGGATGGACATGAGAGGGGATATAAAATCCTGAGTGGTCTGAAGGAGATGAATGGCAAACAACCACTCACTGTCTCTTCCAGTATGGGAACAAGAGGGAAAGGGGAGGTTAAAAACAAAATGAGGTTTTCCTTGACACAACAGTTAACTGAATTCTGAAGGTTCTTGACTAAGGATGTTGAGGATGCTTAGAAAAATTCTGTAAGATTTCAAAAAGGAATCATACATGTCCTGAAGAAGAAATCCATGGAGGGCTATTAACCACAGAGGAGCCACCTCTAGCTTAGGAGGTTCAGAAACCAACAGAGCAAAGCCTGGTGAAGTGTTTAGCCTGTCTTTGGGCTCTTTCTCAGGCATCTGCTGTCGACCACTCCAGGCAAGAGGACACTGAACTGCTCCTGTGCTAAACTTTTCTTAGAATCACAGAACCAAGGCCAGAGGAGACCTCTAAGATCAGCAAGTCCAACCATTAACCTGTCACTGCTGCAACCCCCAAACCCTAAACCATATCCTCCAGTGCCTCTAGATACCTCCAAGGATGGTGACTCCACCACCTCCCTGGGCAATATCCCAGTGCCTGAAC